GGGAGAGAGGTGGACGGGGAGTCGGGGGACAGAGGGAGATGGGGAGGGAGGTGGGGGCAGAGAGACGGAGACAGTTAGAGAGGGGAGAGGAGGGGGGGAAAGAGACAGATGGTGCAGAGAGAGCGAGAGATGCAGGACCTGGGGAGACCGGGGGAAAGAGACACGAGAAGGGATGGGGGACAGGGAAGGACAGACCTGGAAAGAGATGGGGGAGCAGACGTGGAAGACAGAGAAGTAGGAAATGATGGAGGGAGAGAGACAGAGAGAGACAGACAGGGGGAGAGAGCTGAGTGCAGAAAGATGGGGAGAGACACCCCAGGTTGAGGGGAGACGAGGAAGGAGGGAGGAGAGAGACAGAAAAATGGAAAAGAGACAGTGGGAGGAGGCAGAGAAGGGAAGCGAGAGACAAAGAGGGCGAGAGACAGGGAGGGAGATAAGCAGAGAAAGTTGGGGAGCCGGGGTGAGATGGGGGTGTGGGAGCGAGGGCGGAGGGGCTGCCCCCAGGAGGGGTCTGAGTGCTGGAGGGAGCGAGGGGGAGAAGCCTCAGTAGACACGGGGCTGGGGGCTGGGGTGAGGCTGGCCGTGGGAGACTGGACAAGCCTGAGGGCAAGTGGGCTGACAAGTCCCCTCTGGCGTCCAAGGGGTGGGGTGGGGCTTACGGGGGAACAGCGTGTGTGGGTTTCTGAGGTGTGTGGGGTCTTCTGAGCAGCCAGGCGTGTGACAGGGATGGTGTGTATAAGAGTGTGTGACGGGGAGGGGTGCGGGTGTATCCGAGGGGCTTGTGTCTAAAGGAGGGAGGCTGAGGACAGCGCGCCCTCTGAGAGGTGGGGTCTGGCGGGGTGGAGTGGTGAGAGGCAGAAGGATCTGGGGGTTGGGGTGTCTGGGATGGGCCTCTGACAGGAGCAGATGTCTGAGGGTGTGGGTGACCTAGGGTGAGGTCTGGGTGGTGGGGTATCTGAGGCAGAGGGCTGACAGAAAGGGGAAGGGGTCTGAGAGACAGGGATGGGCAGGGGACAGAGTGTCTCAGGAGAATTAGGTAACTGAGGAGAGGGGTGTCCGAGGGAGTGGGGATCTGAAAGGGGGACCTGTTGCGGTGGGGGGGAGCCAGATACAAGGGGTGTCTGAGGGGGAGGCAGGCCTAAGGGGAAGTGT